TTGTGTGTTGATTAAGGATGCATACTTAGTTTGCATGCATGAATCTGATGCTAAATTATAAGGGACTTTCACCTAATCGTTAGGAACTTATAATTACAAGTAGTGGAGATTGTTAGTCACAATCGTGTTAAGTAGATTCTTGGCAAGAGTATCATGCAGTTCATAGTTATAATTGCCTTGTCAATGCTTATGATTTCCATGGAACTTAATAATCTTTGAATGTATCTCTATCATGCTGTTCATATAGGGAACTTGATAAGAATAATTTGGTTGCGATGCGTTGTCCATTCCATTCAATGAATTTAGGGAAATCTTAATTTGTGCATTCACGATTAATTTGGGGCATTGTCGTTCATGGTTTAAAGAAACAATACTGGAAATCGATTTATGTTGCATATGTTTATGTGTGGAGAAGGATCCTCAAACTAGCCTATTTCACCATTCAATTCATCCAATTTCATACCTAGTTTGCTTTAGTTTACAATCTGTTTAATTAAATTAGTTTCGTCCAAATCAATCCCCCTTTCTATTAAGTGTCTTAGATTAGTTAAAAAGGTGTTTCAATCTGTCCAAATTTGTGTTTTGAGTCTCACTAGTGTTAAATTCGTCCAAATAGTTCTTAGAACCTATTTTGAGTCTTTTTAAGTTAGTTTTGTTGTTTTGAGTGTTTTAGGTCAGTTTAGAGTTTATAGAGTCTAGTTTTGTGTTTTTAAGTCTAGTAGTTTTTGAGTTTAATTTAAGTAGATTAGTAGCCCTAGTTAAACCCCGATTAGAACAATCCCTACTTGCTTAATACTACAATTACATACTCAATAGGGTTTAATTTGTGTCGAGTTAATTTTCACATCAAACATACTTTCAAATAAGTTTTTAAAATTACAAAGGTAGAGAAAACATCAGATTTTAAACTTAAAGGGTATAACCAAGCATAACAGGAGAAATCATCCTCAAATATCACATAATACTTAAAACCAAAAATAGAAAGAGTTGGTGAAGACCAAACATCAGAATGAATGAATTCTAAAGGAGAAGATGACATTGATGTAGATAATGAAAACGGTAACTTATGACTCTTACCTAAGGGAGAAAATTGACAAAATTTACTAGAAAATGTGCCTATATTTAGCAATTTATTCGTAAGAATTAAATGTTTTAAAATTGAAAACGAAGGATGACCTAGCCTAGAATGCCATAAAGCATCAGTTACACCTTCACCAACAAAGCAAAAAGACATTGAGTTTGAGGAGAAGAAAGACATGGATAGAGTCCATTGTTACTTTGGCTTTGTAAAAGGATCCTCCCCGTCCGCGATTCCGGCACACGATAAAAATTGGGATGTAAGATGAAGAAACAATTATTATCATCGGAAAAACGGTTTAAATTACGTTAGTGGAGGCTTGAGGACAATATAGTGTATTAGGCAAACGAAAATAAGCATATTGGGTGCGAAGAAAGGAGACCAATTTTACAAATTCGCAAACTTGGAATACCATGTATGCCACGAATTTGATCGGTTCTATGATACTCACGAGGATTATGTAATTGGCCAGCATAATTGTATGTGAGAGTTGGCTCCAGACTCGAAGAGCTATTATTGCACAAATAGTGTAGCTGTAGACACACGAGAAGAAGGGACGACTGTATAAGCCTGAAGACGTGACGAAGGGACCTACCTTCATACTACATGTTGAGACGATTGAAGTAATCAATAGCCGAGTGACCATAGTGTTGGCAAATCTAACATTGAATGCGGCCAGAGGAGGATGAGGCATGTGGTGAACTGAATAAGCCATTGGAACCATAAAGAGGTCTGAGAATGCCATTGGAAGAGGATGGCCTACGTGAAAGGGCTACAAACAAAGAGGGTTACGAAAAATCACTATTTGAACTGCGGGAAAAACCACCACCGCGTGAATAGCCGCACCGGGACCACCACGAAAAGAACTAGCCAAGGAAGAAAAAATCGATAATATCGGTGATATTTCGCCGATATTATCGTTTTTTTGAAGATCCGAAATTTTTTTAACTATCCATATGATTTTCGTCAAAATATCGCGATATTATCGATAATATCGCGATATTTTTAAAATTATCGATAATATCGCATTATAATATTAAAAAATACTCTAAAATGTTGAGAAATCTCAACACATACTACACTTGATCAAAGCCCAAAGGCCAACCAAGACATGATTTTCTCAGCATGTGAATGTGCCTTTTATAGGCGTTCTTGGCTTGCTCACTGCCCTCGCTGGGCGATGTGGGACTCGACCAAGGAAGAAAATAGGAATTTCGGCCGAAAATCTACACCCACTTTAAACGGCCATAACTTTGTCAACACTCAACAAAATCAAGCAAGACAAAAACGAAAGTTGTAGCCCTCGAAGAGAGGAAGAGAATGATACCTCACACGACGTCTGAATCGTCATGGTTTGGCCGGAAAAGGCCTCGAAAGTCACTGAGGTCGCCGGAAACTGGGTAAGATTCAAATGAGTATAACTTTTTCAATACTCAACGAAATTGAGTGAAACAAAAAGGAAAGTTGTACTACTCGACACGACGAAGAGATTGATACCTTGCATGGCAGCCAACTCGCCGTAGTTTGGCCGGACATTGCCTCGAAAGCCACTGAGGTCGCCGGAAACTGGGTAAGATTCAAATGAGTATAACTTTTTCAATACGCAATGAAATTGAGTGAAACAAAAAGGAAAGTTGTAGCCCTTGAAGAGATGAAGAGAATGGTACCTCACACGACGTCTGACTCATTGTGGTTTGGCCGGAAATTGCCTCGAAAGCCACTGAGGTCGCCGGAAACTGGGTAAGATTCAAATGAGTATAACTTTTTGAATACTCAATGAAATTGAGTGAAACAAAAAGGAAAGTTGTACTACTCGACGAGACGAAGAGACTGATACCTTGCACGCCGGCCAACTCGCCATGGTTTGGCCGGAAAACCAAAACGTTTTGTCTCAAGGGCTGGTACATGTGAACTTGTGACTCCAACTAGGTAAGAGTCAGATCTAATTTGGGGTCTTCTATCCTATATTTGTGGACAACCATCAAATGCTAAAGATTAAACAAACATAATATGTTCTACTGCTTGGCAAAAAAAGCTACAAACCCTTTGCTTATCAACAAAAAAAGACAAGTCCTTGCACTAGATATACTTTCAAATTACGTTGAGTAGCAACCTGATATATGTATTCGAACGAATTATAAAACAATTGACACACTCTTGACTTTCAAAATTCAATTATTTTACTTTATATAAACTTGAAAAAACATAATCGGCATCCAAATTAAAGTTTAGTCTTATTCAATGTATTGATTTTCAATCGTTAATTGATATACTATAATTTGGAACTTCAACGCCTAGACACATGCTTATCTGTAAGAAATTTAAAGTGTCAAATTTGGCACATTATTCTTCATCATTTTATTTACTTCCCTTTTTTTTTTTTTAATATCCTAAATAAAACCTCCAAATATTGTACTAATTCATTATATATAAATGATTATGGTGTGTTTAGACTTCTTTCATTAATTACTACATATTTTCTACACTCACAATGTTTGTCAGCTCGCTATATAATCAACTTGATAATGTTAAATCCATCATGCAATGCATTTATTTCCAATTTTTTGTGATAAACTAATAGATAATTGACTAAATAAACATCCTACAAAATTTCAATAAAAATTTCCAAGTTTTTCTTACAATTTCCGTGGTATCCATGTAATTTTTATCGATATCGATATTTTACCGATATTTCCATCGATATTTCCGTGTTTTCGAACTACCGATATTTCCGATATTACCGATATTTTCTTCCTTGGAACTAGCACATCTACGGGAATAGCCGCCACCGTGACCACCACACACAGTAGCAAAGGCAGAGGTGCCGACATCAGAAGGAAGAGATAATGCATTGTGATGTTGTTCGACACTCAAGAGTAAAGCTTCCAAAGCGTTGTAGGTGATAGATGTGTCACGGGCTTGTGCAGAAGTAACTGTGGTCTTATACTAGGGACCAACTTTGCTCATGATAATGGCGACCAAATCTGATTCTAAAATGAAAGCTACAGAAAGAGCGAGATTGTCGACAAGGACATTGACTTTGTCAAGATAACTACGAGAAGTATTCATGAGCTGGGTACGCATTTGAATAATACGATTCTGAGATGTAGACGCATAATGTTCTTGAAAAGACGACCAAGCAGAGGCCAAATCGATTTTTCGACAATGGTAGCCAGAACCTTGGGAGTAAGAGAGCTAGTAACCTAAGAAAGAATCATCTGATCAATTTGTATCCATTCATTGTATAATGGATTAGCCTTGTTGGTGATTTTGCTATTGTCACCAAGAAGAAACGCAGCAACGCAGGGAGAGTCTCCAGTGACATAGGAGAGCAAATTGCGACTTTGAAGAAGAGGGAGAAACTGAGCACGCTAGAGAGGGTAGTTGTTGCGGTCGAGCTTGATTGTGAGAAATTTAGTTACCGAGGGAGCGGCAGTAGCAGTAGCAGAGAAGGATGCCATGTCTGAGGAAAAAAAAAACAATTTAATTTGAAACGTGAACCTTTGTTGTTAGACTCGAGCTCGTGATACCATGAAAGCTAGAAGAATATATTTGTAGAACTCAACTCAATAATGAGTGAGCTAGATTTCCATAATATTTACTGGAGAACAAAATTAATTAATACTGGAGTAGGATTTACAATTCAATCATAACTATGCTAGGATTATGTGGAACTAGAAGTAAACTTCATATATGATGAGAAGTCTTTCTGCGATATGGACTTCGTAACTACAGTTTTAGTAATGGAACAGAATTGTTGTTTATCAGCACATAGCATGTACATACCATGCAAACACCATGCACGAAGGATGCTCACAATATGCACATAAAATAACAAAATTTGAAACCTCACTAGTCCTAGCAGCATTCGTCATTACTAAATCAATCATGGGGGCTATAAAAAAGACACAAGAAACCGAAATCGACATGAACACCCAAAAACATTTATTACAAAAGAACCGAGTAACAAATTTAAAGAAGATATAAGAAAATAAGCGAAAACATTCATTTGGATACAAACTATTCCAAGTTTCTTCAGTTTTGCCTTTTACAAGAGCCTTGAACAGAGGATAAAACATTACAATTGTCAACAATCTTTCCATAAAGTTTCTCACAATCGTTCTTGTATTGAACCTGAATAACTGATCCATCTTGTAGAATAAAAAATGTGCTTCCTCAAGCTTAGAAGCCTTACAAAGTTCATCAATAAGAGCATTAAAAGTTGCAACAGTAGGCATCTAAAACCAAACCTTTCTTGCTCATCTCTCTTAAGAAGTTCAAAGCATCGTTTACTCTACTAGCATATGATAATCCTTGACTTATTATAGTACAAAAGATATTATCAAGCTCAATGCCCTCCTTGATCATTATTCTATACTACCCATGTGCTTCGCCAAATCTCCTAGGTGTAAGTAAACCTTGAATCAAACAAGTATATCCATTGTCTTACCTAACCATCAAGTAAAGCATGGTAAGTAATCAAATCAGGAGAGCACCCACTTCCCAAAAACCAAATTCATGAATATAAATTTCCTTAGCTTGCTTCTTAAAATCCATATACCTATATATCCATTAAGCATAAGTGGAGAGTTTTACTTTGTCCTTGTGCTTCCGCATTTCAAAGAATTGAAATTGTCTGAAGCATAAAGACACATTTGCATGTTTTGCGCAAGCTAAACATGAAGTATTAACTAAAATATTCACACACACTCACGAACAGAGAAGCATAAGTATGTTTATGTTGATTGAATGCCACTGCAAGCTACTAACATCCCAAAAGTAGGCTATAGGAGGATTTTCTACTAGGGAACTTGATAAAGTAATTATCCATTTCTTAACAACTAACAGAAAGAATAATTAAAATTAAGCTAAAAAAGCAAAAATTCATAGTAAAAACCCACTTTTTCACGTTCTGTGAGAGGATCTAGAATCTAAAAAATTAAGACATAGAATCCAAAAATTAAAACACAAAACTCAAAAATTAAAACCCAAAAATTAAAACCCAGAATCCAAAAATTAAAACACAAAGCTCAAAAATTGAAACCCAAAAATTGAAACGCAGAATCTAAAATAACAAAACCCACAAACAAATACAAAAAACCCAATTCGCAAAATCCAGAATACATTCCAAGCTCTCTTTTCCCTATCCCTATTTTTTTTTACTTGCCATCTCTACAAATTCAAAAAAAAAAAAAAAAACAAGTAATCGGAAGCAAAAACGGAGACGATGATCGAGTTAGGTAGAGACAAAAATGAGAGAGAGAAAGAGATGAACCGGAAAGAGCGATGCTTGGGCAGTTTAGGGTTCTCTTTGCCATTTGTCGAGCAAGGGTCGCGAGTGAGGTTTTCGGAGAAGGAAGGAGAAAATGCTAACTGAGTCTTTGCAATAACCCATTTATATGGGAGGGCAATTTAATCATTTCAAATTTTAGAAAAATCCTACATCTGCCATGTTGTTGTGCATGTCAAGTGCATGGTTTATACATATCCCAAAAATCTTATTTTAGTCCAAAGATTAAGGAAATGGCTCATTTCTATCAATTTCCCTAAAATTTATTGGCCATAAAACCAAATGGGCTCAACCAACAATATTATGAAGCAGCATGTTTCATTTTAGTACCAATGCAAATGTTGAATTGCCCTGGTTGATAAGACTTCATTTTCAATCCCATTACATTTTCGGTTCAAATCTACAATCATTTCTCTAATATGGCAAATAAGTCTAGTATGAAACTACTGTTCATTACAACTTAAAAACGCCTAGGTTCAACCCTTCAAATAAAAGTCATAGAAGTATGTCTCTTTGCAAAACATATGAGTTCAACTTGGTGAACTCAGGTGTTGGATCGCTTTCCCACTGAGTAATTCAACATTAATATACAAACCAAATTAACCACAATTACATGATACCTAGAATGCATAGTTAAATCCTCTTAAACTCCAACCAGTTCTTTGCTTTCTCCTTCTCCCCTCCCCATTTACTTTTCCCTTTCCCTTTCCCTTCTTCATCGCATTGACTTTGAATTTGCCCTTGCTCTTTGTCCGCTTTCCCAACTTCTTGTCCTTGCTCTTGCCATTTGCCTTACCCTTGCCTTTAATCTCGTGTTTGTCTCTACCGTCATCACTAGAATTCGCATCATCATTGTTCTTTCCTTCATTAACATTATCATCATCATCTTTGCTCTTAGGATCAACTAATAGGGATTTCCAATGAGTTGAAACGACAAAGTACCCCGAGGATATTTATTGAACACTGTTGAATTGTTTGCTAGATGCAATATAAACGTCTTTAGAGAAATGCCAGAGAGACTTCTCTCCCCTCCTAATCTCTATTCTTTTCTCTCCCCTCAAACTTGAAAGGTTACGGTTAAGCCACATCAAGATCTTGTATTGATTTTTTTTTTTATAGAGACAATAAGACAAAAAGCAATATGCGAGAGGAGGGGTGGGAAATAGATGAGAATAAGAGGGGAGAGAATCCTACTCCCTCTCAAAAGTGAGACCTTCTATGACTCTCCGCCACATTATGTTTTTGGTACAATTTATGTGCCGACATTATAAAATTTTATGCCAAAAACATGACATGGTAGAGATCCATGAAGAGTCTCATTTTTTAAGATTCTCATTCAAACCCTAAAATCACGAAACATAGCATGTACAAAAGTCCTAATTTCAACAAATCATCCTTATGATGGCATTTATCGATGGCTGTTTGCAACATTTTTCTGGTCACATTGGTGTTGTTAGGAAAAATGCTTCTTAGTCAAATGCAAACAGTGTGTATTTGACCATTTTATAATCGGCTTTTTGTCGCATCGAAGCCCACTAATCAAAGCAAAGTCTTGCTTGGTGAACTTCGCAACACTGTTGCTGCCAATAATTGAAGCTCATTAATTGTGGAGGTGGTACGTGAACTTTTGGATTAACAAGATAAATTACTCTTGAGGTACATCAGGATTCTCACGCGTATGTAATGGACAATAACGGCTCAATTAGGGAATAGTCAAAGGTGATCAAAATGGTATTGATTCAAATCATTCTCATCACTCCTCATCAAATCCTTATTCAAAAGGTAACTCCCAAATTCCTATTTAATTTAGGATTAATTGCCATATTAATTGCAAGATATTATTTCACATAATATCTTGCAATTATTCACACAATTTCACCATATATGGTCAGCCACTATTCTTCAAATAAGATCGGCCACTTCCCTATAAATTGTCATATTCTCCAACTAAAAAGCTATGTCATTTGCTAACCACAAACTCCTAAACACATTCTTTTCAGAATTCTAACTTTGGCATCAGATATTCTTCGGTCAAAACCCCCCATTCATCATGGGAGCTTGAGGCTTTTGGCAGGTATTATTATTTTGCAGGTGCATTTTCATCAAAGAAAAAAACGACGGAAATTTGCGTCCACATCTTAGATTCAGGCCTTATGAGTTCAACTTTCGGTGCTATATCATGAATATATATATATTAACAAAATTCCCTATATGTATAATTCTTCAAATACGATGAATCGTAAATTTTTTGTCGACGTATTTTAAATTTTAAATTTATGAACATGGGTAGATAAGGTAAAGCTTACATACCCTAATTTCCCTATTTTTTTACCCCAGTTAAGTAGATAAATTGCTCAAGATCTTGACCCCAAATAAGCAGGTAGATGTTTGTTCTTTTCCACGATGGAATTGCCTCAAGTTCAGCAGGGTATATACTTTCGAAGGAAGACGATTTTTCAGGGGAAGAAGATGTTCATGATTTGAAGGTTTAGTAAAGCTAACAGAGTTTGGTACAATTACTTCATTATCTACATTAAAGGAGAAGGGGATGGGCTTAGCCTCACAATGGGCAAGTAATAATATGGTTCAAATTCGTCTTTAACGATAATCGAACCTAAAACCTCTTACAAGTGAAGAATATACCGCTAAATTATCGTACTAAGCGGCTTTAGCATACATTTTTGAATTATTTGAATTTCTTTTGGATCTACCCATCATAAAATGAGATATAAGCAAGTTAAAATGGGATGATCCTCTACACATTAGTACATCACACTCTTTTAAATCAACACCTTTCAATTTCTATTGTGCGGCTACGAGGCTTGCGCACATAAGCAGCACACTGAGGCTTGCGCACCTGAATATTGAGCAAATTATTGTCCAACAAAAGATGTAGTTGTTGGAGGATAGTCCCATTGTGGAGAAATATAGAAATTAATATACAATTTATGTGTAGGAGGTTCCCAATATCACCGAGGTTTTTTTGTTTTTTTTTTTTTTTGTGATAAGACAATGCTTAATAATAGATAGTTAAGTTGGAATAATATCGATCATGTTAGTGGTGAACCATGCTGGGTTTAAACAGTTTATCAACAATACTTGAAGTTGTTCAATAAGAATATTAATGTTTTTATAGTATGAATTTCATTCCCAACCATTAAAAAGTAATATACAGATATAGGATAAACCAACGGGAGAAAGAAAATATGACAAGCATGGACTTCTGAGAAAAAACCTTTCAGTTTGGAAATCTCCAAGGAGGAAAAATCACGAAACAGAAAAAGATCCCTACTTGCCATCACAAGAACTTATCGACTCTGTAGTCCCAACTTGGCTTCTAAAAAAGGCATCAACCACAAAGGAGCCTCTTCAGTCCAAGCTATAAATTTGTCATAACTTCATGGAATTGTGCCAACCTATGCGCCAACGTATTTGTTTCTCTTAACTACCAACGACATGCAAAACTTAATCTTTTACTTAGCTGCTTAGTCTCCACCACCATGTTCCCATCCACGTCTCTATTGTCTTCCATTCTCCAGAATTTTCCCCACCACTATTTTGGCATCCATTTCCAACATAACATGATTGAAACCCAACTTACAAGCAAACAGAAGTCCTTCCCTCGCGGCAATCAATTTGATAACTCGAGGAGAACAAAACTCTACATTTGTTTCGAACAAACTGCCATTAATAGTCCTTTATCATCTCGAATCAAAACTCCAATCCCTCGAGTACCACCACCTCGCTGCAGCGATCCACCTACATTGATTTCACCGTTCCTACCATCAGTGGTTGCCAAGTAGCATGAGCAGCAACTCCATTGCGCCTATTGTTATTTTTGGTACACACAGAGTACACTTTTAATACCTAATTTTACATTGAGACAACACCTTTTAAACATTTCAAAGAGAGACAAAAGTTAATGTTGGGACCAAACCTGCGCACCTCCGTGGGCGATGGTTGAGCACAAATTCGAGGAATCTTAAGCAACCTGCAAAATAGTAAAATAACCACAAGCAAACCTTAGGCCGGTGGGGGGGGGAGGGGGAGGGGTGTGTCGGCCAAAGGCTCTTCAACGGTCAAGTTAGCGAATGATTTGAGACTCGAGCAGTGGGCAAGAGAATTCAAGTATATAGATTGCGTTAATGTAGATGAACCCTAGATGAGTGTATTTATACCGTGGGAGAAAGCCCTTTTAAGGATATAATTCTCGTTCTAAGCCGGGAGAAACCTAGATGATATCTATTAAGTAGATATTGCATCATATTTAGGAGTTGTGATTACTTACGGCCCCAGATTGTAGGGACTTTAAGACTTATAGGATCTGATTGTGTCCATATCTGGATCAGATTATGTATCTTACAAAATAAGCATGGTCATCCAGCGGAGTCGCTTGGACTCCACCTAGTGCCCTGGAGTAGAGTGATGGTGGCACCATGTTCTATCTAAAACAGATCCGGCCGAAGCTGGTGAGTCCATGACCGGACTACTAAGGTAATAGTATTCAGATCACCTTATCTGGCCTTAGAAAATCATGGTCCCACAATTGCCCCTAACTAGCTATCTGAGAGGCAACTTGTTCCCCTTAATGATGGATTGTTACCAAACACTATGCCTTTCGGAGTAAGTTGGAATATGTACCATTTAGTCTTCATGAATGCGAGGTAAGCTTTAACTTTGATGTGACAATGTTTCAAATTCAGACTTGCATCTTCATACAACATGCCATAAAGTTCGTAATGATAAAGCGTCGCGTCTGAAGCCTGCATACGAGAAACGAGAAATTTTCTCCGATATCCTTTGCTTATCTCAGTCGTCAAATGGGTTGATCCAAAACAAGTCGATCTGTATTCAACGATTAGATGATCCCTTCCAAAGATGCCTATGTATCATCAGACCTCTTTCCTCTACCCTAAACTTTTATTGTAAAAAAAAGGCTTAACTTTTTTTCTGTACCCATTTCAAAATCCTCTATCCTCTTTAAATCTTTTCTCATGGTGTCATCAAGCAAAAGCCTAAATTGGTCAAGGTTTCCCCTATTATCTTCCCCTGACGAGAATTCGTAATCGAGAAGGTGAATCTTTCATCGAAGAACAAGTGATATCTTGGATGATTGTAATGTCTGGTAGGAA